AGAGTAACTTACTTATACTTGTAATTATAGGTTCTATTATATTATTTATAAAGTTATCTTCATTAAACCATACACATAACTAATTTAATTTAAAATAGTCTGAGGTTAAATATATTTAATGCACTCGAAAATTTATTAAATATTCGGACACACATATATAGGCAACTTTCTGCTATACAATCTATAGGTAAGAATGCTGGTAAGAAAATAAATATCAATTCAGTACCAATACTGACTGGCAACATTGATTGGCTACTAAAGCAACCAGTGATTACAGAAGATATGGATCAGTTAAAAACTATATGATTTAGTATAATAATAGGTACCAAAAGCGGAGTAAAGAGCGAACAATGAAAAATCAACTGAACCTCCTCCTTTTTTTGAAGTCGGTAATAAAATATGATAAACTGTCATAAGGCCATGTTTTTATTTAAACTGTCCAACACCAAGCGGTCACTGGTGACCGCAACCTATTGTTCTATAATTGTGTCTACAAAACCGGTACTCGACGAGTTAATACAGTTTCGTACTAGAAGTTATTTTTCTTGTCAGACGACCGTCTAATGTGACTTTGCTCTTTGATTCGAATTAAACATAAACAAACTAATAAAAATAACTTGGTAAACTTTACTTACAACTTGTTCATACTTATCGCGTAACGCGAAAGTATTCACAACTTAGCTTATGAAACTTAATTTAACTTAAACTTAATTTTAAGTTCGGTGTCGTGGGACGGGTTTAAAATTAAACTTGTGACTTTGATTATGATGTCACATGACATTAGTGTGTGGCAAATACGTGTTAAGTTTATTTAAAGTTTAAAACCCATAAATCCCCAAGCGGTCACCGGTGACCGCTTTCCACTAATATTACATTACATTATAGACCTTATTTCTAATGTTTAGAGAATACTTTTGTATGACCAAATTTAGGGGATGGATATCAACGGGTTAATTGTTAAACGTATGCAAGTGAAATGAATGATGTGTTGATGCTGTGAACATTTTCAGAAGGTGGTTTCTGAAGCCTTTTCATTTTGATAGCTGTTCAGTTAATCATGATGAGTATGAAATCATCAGATGCTCGTGTTTTATTTTCTTTTTAAATTCATACTAGTTTCTGCCAATGGCGTGCCTGTGGGATAAATAATGGCCTATTGTTATTTAATTCCAGTCCATAATCTACCGCAGTTCCCAATTATATCTCGATTTCTTCAGCCGTTTTGAATTGAAGTGTCTGTTTATAATGTTAAAACAACCGCATTTTACTACATGCATATGATACACATAACAAAATAATATTTTTATGGAATTTTTCTT